TCAGAAACCTTCTGCTCTTATTTGATCGGGGAAGACTTTTGGAGGCCCCTAAATATAGTTTATAATAAATCCTAAAATGAAAATTACTCTAATCTTTATCAAAAAAAGAATATGACTACAATATGAAAGCAAGTATTTGATACAAACCCTTCGAGCTGGAATAAAACTGTGCCTACATTCTTCATTGCCATACAATCCAAGAAAATCAAACTGTCTACCCTCAAACCCAGGCATACAATGACCTGTACATTCTGTATCACTGTAAATGGCCAAATATAACATAATAAATTTCAAAATTTAATTTAATTTAAAAAGAAAGCAAGTGTTCAATGGACTTAATTTACAAAAGTATGATAATTTATGTCTTTTACAAGAAGCTATTATGATGGACCAGCTTTTTTCAGTGGCAATACTTACAATAGTGTGGCCTATGCCTCTTAATTAACAGCAAATTTTATTGCAAAAACATATTAACATATATACAGAAATAGTTTGTGGTAGATAGTTAAATGAACACATATATAGTTACAAATATTTATGGACCAAATAATGATGATATCTCAATTTTTGAACAGTTAGATAAATTTATTTTGGAAAATGAAGAGAAAAAGATAATTATAATAGGAGGTGATGTCTGTAGAGTTAGACAAAAAGAATAATAGAAAAGATAGCCACAAAAACTGTTGACAAAAACTCAAGGACATCATAGCGTGTATGATATTTGGAGAATTAAAAACCCATGTGCATATAAAAGTAACTTCGTCTGGCATTCACATGACATTTAACCTGCTATATTCTGTAGACTTGATTTGTTTTTAATTTCAGAAAATCTTTTCAATAATGTTTGCTGATCTAAAATTCAAAATGGATATAAATCAGATCCGTATTATTATAATTTTTACAAATAAATCAATTCTTTATCGCTTTTTCTACTGATTTATAAGATGGAATTACAAGTATTGTAGACAAAATAATGATTACAGCACAGTTCCACCGAGAGGTCCTCAAGCTGCTTTTGTATCCAATTTCACAAACTATTTTTCTAATTCTTGCATAAAACTGCACACAGTTATACATTTAAAGAGAAGAAAACATGCATTATCGGATAAAATCATGCTGGCATGCACCATTGTGGCACTTTTTTCTACTTTTTGCGACTCGGGGGTCATGTAAAAGAAGCCCACTGCAATGGAGACTTTTTAAGGTCACGGTCCATCTAAGGATGTTTTAAGAAATATAAGTTTCAAATGGGAATCAAGTGCAATCATAAGAAAATTACATGATTTTATATTATCAGACATTTACCTAGAATTACTGTGAGAAATGATTGAAGCAAGATTAGTTCCTGAGATATCTATGGATTTGAGTTGTGTCATTTTCTTGACTGACTGCGTGAATAGCGCTACCATTCTATCGCTATAACAGTAAATGCCTCCGCTGTTTCCCCCTTCGTAGTTGCAGGAAACATCTAAATGTCTGCATAAAAATAAAGCATATATTTATTAATTATTCTGGTTCATGTTCTTCATTTGAACAAAGAAAAAAAAGAAAACCATGGTATTTATAACATACTATGCTTAAAGTAGATCTCAACTAATTTCAAATGTACTTGCACTTTGCATGCCACTTTAGAAATCCATACAGAATATGATGAACAATCTTTAAAATCAAAAAAATATTTTTTCAATTACTTTTATCATCACATTTTTTTTAGAAATCTCTGTTCATTAATAAGAGGCTTAAATGCAGGAGTAGGCAATACAACTACATGTATGTAATGTTAAACTGAACTGTATTGTTACCTCAAGTTTTCAAGAAGAGGTAAGTTGGAGAAGAATTCTTTTGTATATGGAATGCCCCGTTCCTCAAGCTCAGCTACCTGTTCAGGACAATTGAAAGACAAACATAGTGACTGGATATTTTTCATTGAATGAATCTTTGGTTGCGATAAGAACCATTTTACTGGGTTTGAAATTACTGTTACAAGACAGAAAGACTGTATTTGTTTGTTCCTCAACAATATCTCAGTCAGTAAATGATAAAAACCATCCATAGCAGTGATGTGCAGAAATGGGTGGGCGCATTCCCATATAGACACACTCATAGCTGAAAGATTTTAAGTTTGGAGCAATATCAGACTGGTCTTCTGTATTTTTCTCTGCTCCTTGAACAGTTTCCCCACTTCCCTCATTTTGTCCATCCAGATTTCTGATCTGGAATCCATGGAACTTGGTATTAGAAACAACCATCTCATAAAAGCTTGGATTATCATATTTTCCTCTGTTCTGATCACCACTAGCATTTATAGAGTTATCTAAATCATCTGCATTTCCTCCGACAGTTTCAATATCCGCATCAACCTCCTGTCCACATAGCAAATTAAGAAAACCTGTCATCTGGCTTTCTTCACATTTCTGAGAAAGAGATACTTTTGTTTAAATAAGGAAGATTGTTTTCTAATAATTCCCTCGTATGAAACAATAACTTCACTTGTACTATCATCAAATATGGAGAGATGCAATCTTCGGATTGAATTATTAGCCAACTCTTGAATATTTTCAGAGCTTACACATCTCTCCTTGTCAATATCACTTCATTGCATAATTGATTGTTCTGTGTCAATTGATCAACAAATTGCTGTTTATCTTCACTTGGTAAACTGTTACTTAGGAAATACTCCATCAATCTGTTGCCAAGCAACAAAGAGAATGTGGATGAAATATCATCATTTGATTCACTAACATTATTCAACGATGCAACAAGAATGTCTAGATTGTTCATGCAATAAAATATACAAAGATCTTGAAGCTTATCAGGGGTGTCTTGAACTGGTCTACCTCCATCCTGCATACTGTTGCCTAATGAAGCCATTACTTTGGTAAATGTAATCCTCAAAGACCCTCTGCACAAATATGACTTATAAAGCCCTTCAGCTGGAAGATAAAATCTGTAAGTTTATTCAAATTCAGAATAGTCATACTTGACTTTATTTTTTTTTTTTTTAGTTTATTAAAAGATATGTCAAACTATTCATAAGCAAAACACAGACACTGGCAAAAACCAATAATCTTACTAACAACATGTTGTTTTAATTTTAATGTACTAATTCTGTGAATGAAAATGCTGTCAGGCAAGATAACTAGTGTCACACTTTGGGTTCACAAATAGGTTACATGTAGGATAGCTAAGTCAATGTTTATTCCTTTCATTAAAAACATACTGGTATCCTTTCACTTAGTTTAAACTTGAGATACTGAATCTTACACATTAAGACATTATTAACAACACATATGAGAAAATATATCATTAAAGTTTGTCTATGACTGTCTTTTTTCCATTTTATAAGTTGTTGTTATAGCATATTGACAAGACTGTCATTTGGAAATATCATGGCCTGGGGTGCCAGAAAATGATTGATGCCTCAGGGCATGAAATTCTAACATCACAGTGGTTTTCAACAAACTGTCTGTTGTTGTATGGCAATTGGCATGAAAAGAGAGAAATTGAATAAAGCTTACAATTTAAATTTGTATGTTTGATTTTAAACATAACATTTGTTTCTTTTATGTCAAGATATGACATTTTGTTTTTAATTTCATTTTTTCCGATTGCATCCTATCTTATCTTGTACCATACGTCCTTATAAGGAAAACAGTAACTCCATAATAGAATAATGTTTTGTAATTGTTTTTTTTTTTAAGTAGACTTACAACAAAATAGTAACACAAAATGTGCTTTTTATGTATATTATCAATACAAAATATTTAGTTAATGTTCAAAGTCAAAGAATTCTTAAAGTATGGTTGGTTAAATGTTTTTCATGTTTATTAAGATGCCATTCAAACAACATTTTTAGTAACTGTGACACTCCAACTGCATACATGTGAACTCTCCCACTTTTAGCGGGTCAGACTCCCATTTTCTGCAGCCATATTTTCAAAGATTTTTCTTAAAATAAGGGGTATTTTCACAAATTAAAGAAATCTCCCTGTATAGATTTTTGATGTCAAACTTCCTTCTCTGTTTTAATATTACAAATTCTAAAATCTCCCACTTTTTGAAGAAAAATCTCCCACTTGATCATCAAAATAAGTTCACATGTATGCAACTGGTTAATCTGGTTCCCACTCCCATGATTCTGATGTTATAAAAGAATTTAATGAGCACAAACACAGATCTCTGGTATTTGACTGGTTTCTTACAGAATGTAACCAATGAAACTCCTGAGATTCCAGACAGAACTCAGATAAAAGTTTTATAACCGCAACGCCAGTACAACATCATCAGATAGGGATAGAATGTATATGGTAATGTATATAATTATCTGTTAGTCTGTAATAGTTACCTTTACTGTATCAGTTTATCTTCCATTTCTATTTATTTTGACATTATCAGTTACTTACTTTACTTTACTTTATCCAGCGTAGGGTCGCGAGATCAGAAATCTCTTATAACCCCCTCGAGGTCTGACACCCAATGATTATTATCCGGTATAACAGTATATAATTTGTTTTTCATAACCTTATCGAGTCTGTTTTTTAGCGAATTCAGCGTTGGTGAACATACTACAGAATCTGGTAATTTATTCCACTCTGGTATTACTCTTAATGAGAAAAAATGTTTTCTTAATTCCTTTTTACATGATTTTATTTTCAACTTCATGGAATTTCCTCTGATGTGATGATTATCAAGTTGTGCTTTTTCAAAAAATACATTATAATCTATATCTTCCTTCCCATTTAATAATTTCCATGCTTGTATGATATCACCTCTAAATCTTCTGTAAGCCAAAGTAGGAATTTCCAGAATTTTTAATCTTTCTACATACGATAAATTTCTAATACATTTAACCATTTTTGTTGCTCTTTTTTGAACTCTTTTGATTGCTTCAATATCTTTTTTAAATCTTGGACTCCAAATAATATTTCCATATTCAAGGTGTGGTCTTATAAGAGTTTTATAAAGTTTCCGAAATTGCTTGATATTAACATGTAAGAAGGTATTTCTGACCAATCCAGTTATTTTATTTGCTTTATTGATACAATTACTTATGTGATGTCGAAATTTCAAATCTTTATCATATAATATACCTAAATCTCTTTCTTCCTCACTAGACCTCAATTGTTTAGTTGTAAAGTCACTTTTCATAAAATATTGATGTTCCGTGTTATTGTGTCCATAATGAATAACACAGCATTTGTCTACATTAAATGTGATTATTTTTTCTTCATAGAAAGAATGACAGCAGTTTTATAGAGTCAAAATAAAAGACAGATTAAAAGGACCTCTTTAACAGTTTAAAGTGAAATAAAATAACCTGTAATAACATGAGACGAAACTTCCTTTCGATCATAAACAGGTAAATACATAAACAAATAAATTGGAGTTTGGGACCTATTTACACCGTTATTATTTACTACGGCACCGGTTGTATGAACTTCCTTTTCCGGTAATTTGTTGTTGATGTAAGTGAGAGAAATATTATGTATACTTTAATCGACTGTAATCGTTTAAACAAATCATTGAAATAGCTTTAAATTTGTTTTTTATTTCCTTTAGAATGTTAGATATTGAAATATTGATTTCATTTGTTTTTGGAGCGTTTTAGATTCCTAAAATTTGAGATGGCAGTAGTGATGAGACAGTAACCGTTAAATTGTTACCATAATTCAGCACTTTTTTAATGAAATCGTTAACAGGCAACTGTCTGATTGCAGAACTAAGTGTCTGTGTGTGTGTGTGTGTGTGTGTGTATTTGCGTTTATTTATACTCGCCACCGGTTGCCCATATGGGCGAGTCCTCCAGAAGAGTATTAGTCATTTTATTTTTTTGGAGGATAGTGCAATTACAGATACAGGAAGATGTAGCAAAAGATACTTCAGCGAACAGGTTTTATAGTATTGCTAGACCTGTTCGCTGAAGCCAACCCCATATTGAAAGTCAACCAGACCCGTGACATTTTTATGTCATGCTGTAATTCAATAAATTTGCGTGATCTGGACAAAAACTATTTTAATACAGGTAGTTAGATATATTTGGGACCCTTCAGACGATATTTTTGAACACAGAATGTTAGACTGATGAAATATTGCCTCAAAGTTTATCAGCGGTTCACATTTCATAAAATTCGCCGCCATTGCTGCCCTAATTATCACGTGACCAGCGAGAATTTAGGTTCGGATACCTTTGCATGACATTTGGTGACACGTGACCCAAATGCTATTTTTAATTGAAAACATGGCTTTGCAATTATGAATAACGGTGTATTTATTCAATAACAGACATTGTACCAAAAACATGTTGGATTTATATTGTTTTGAGTGATGATTCATGAATTATTTGTTTGTTTTTATATAAAATCATACACTTACTAAAAATAGTGTATGGTCCGTTACTAAAAATAGATGCTAGAATTTCCAAAACATGAAGTCCCGCGAGATCTCATTTGAAAGCAGACTCCATATTGGTAAACATCCTCTATTCTCTAAAAAAATAGTTGGGTACACAATGTCATTGAAGTTTCGTTTAAAAACAAAACATGAATTGGTTCAAAATTGATTTGTTTATCAAATTGTATTTTTATTTGACCCAAATTTGATTAATAAGGGTGATTTTAGAAGGTTTTTATGTACGGCGCACAAACTGTCAAATTCTGGTAGCCTTTGCAAATAGGGTTGACCCATAACTTTACTGTCGTAACGTCAAAATAAAAGCGACATATAAAGTTATGGAAGCCAGAACTAAGGAAGATGCTCCAATTCCAGAAGCTTCTCCTGGTTCTTTAGCGTGCCAAGTGTTTAAGCACCCATACACGGGACCTCGATTTAAAGTCTCATCCGAAAGACTGATTAGTAATTTTAGTTGGCCAGCCTGGGAATCGAACCCACAATGTCGAGATTACAAGTCTCGCGCTCTAACCGATTGAGCTATGCGGGCTGGCAACTGAGTGTCTCCTTATATTCATCCTTAATATACTACAAATACAGAATGAGCCAAATGCTGTAGACCCTGGGGTCAAACTAGGATAAAGCCACCCCACCTTCCACTAAGTTCCAGCACGAATTAAACTATGTTTCTTAAATAAACTATATAGTATATACCTCCATTAAAACTGATAATTAGTGTTTGCAGTTTTGAAATTCAACATCTTAAATGTACTCGAAGACGAAAAAAATTGTTTAGTTCTGAAAAATCAACTTCAATTTTTTCTATTTCTGACATTTTCATTTAAACCTCTCTGAATTATTGAGCTCTTGCAAAATGATAGTCAAATGCTAGTACTCGCAAAGTTTTGCTACAGTACTGCTAAGGGACCACCAAAACCGGACAACCACCAATTAAATAAATTTATTTCAACCTCATAAATGGTAATATTTAAATGTCTACAGGGTTCTCGGGGATGCTTATTTCTGCGTCCCGGTACGCATGTTTATTACAGCTGGACGCAAATATTTCAGAGCAAGGATTCCACGTACGCTATATTTTGCCTGGGGACTGTCAACATTACCGATTGTTTACAACCACAAATACGTCGGCGCGTGTCAGTCTATAGGTAGGCTGTCCTATGCACATCGACCCGTGAAGCGATTAGCCAATCAGCGATAACACTTTCGATCATTATCATATCAGGCAATAGAGATCAGACTAATGTATACACGCGCTGTACATGTAATTACCAGATATAACACGAGGTGATAATTTAATATCTTTGATCAACAGTTGATTGGAAATTAGCAAATTTTACCGACAAAAGGATAAAAATTTCGACTATTTACGCCGCAAGTTTAAAGACTGTTTTCTCAAATTACAAATGAGTGTAATTTTGAATTATTGTCGAAATTTTCGGCATCTTCTAGGCAAAATTTTGCTTTAGTTTCATTCTTGCAAAAACGTTCTATAAGAGTATTAATAATTGTATTTTCTGATCGTAAGATCAGTAAATACACAGCTAACATCCACGGTCTAACACAAAATTTCCTAACAGTCCTAACAACGCAAAGTAGTTCTCACTCAAAACTGCTTAAAAACCAGCAATTTAAAAGAAAGAATAATTTTTAATGTAGGCATTTAACGAATTACAGTGCATCAAAAGTTTAGATTAGTCAATAGAAATATGAGGTTACAATCACAAATTTTCGCGGATGAATATCTTTTTTACCCAATGAAAAATGTTCGGCTATTTCCGTAAAGCTTCGGATTATCATGAATATCATTTTAATCAATGAAAATGCTATTTTTAGCTATGCCGATTACCGAATACTCCAGAGCGTAGTACACAAATAAATCTGACTGTCGAGTAGTGGAATATATACATGTCGGACTGTTTTGGCGTCAGTTTTAAACAACACGTTTATCGTGAACAAAATACCTCGAAATTAATAAGGATTACAAACACGAAATAGAAATTCTCAATTTAGAATTACATAATGTATTCGTTTTTATTCAAGGTTCATATGTATAACTTTGCCGTGGTGCAGAGGTAAGCGGTCTCGTTGAGGGTGTGAGAGGCCTATGGTTCAAATCCTAGTCGAGGCAATTCTATTTTTTTTTCATGCAAAATTCCATATGTAAATCTCAAACTGTTATAGAAGAAAATCAAAACATTGTCGCTGCGTAAGATGAATTATAGTATATAAAAATAAACTTATACAGGAAAGTACATACAGATAGTCAGTATGATTTAGATTGCAAAGATCAGAAAATACCATAGAGCTGCAGCCCTTTGATTTAACATATTGTGCCGAAATGCCAGGACAACTAACCAAAATACACATACGCTTTTCTTTGATATTAAGATTCTATCCCGAACATTGGCGATTTCACGTTCGCCGGAATTTCAGAAACCCTAAAATTTCTCAAAAATTCTCAGTTTCCAAGCCAAACATGTGAATGAATTGTTACTTTATTATTTAATCAGCATTAAATCTTTAAATATCAATCTTCAATTTGCCCCCATTTTGAAGATATTTGCTCAAATAATTGTCGATCGGATGAATCTCTTACACACTGTGTGAAGCTGTACACGATTTTCCTATTCATTCCGCTAATCGCTGCCTATATACATTTACGTTTTTTTTACAAATATAAACTTTTTCTCTTTAGAGTGGACTTTTATTTAACCAGAATAAAATTTGATTTGGTATAAAAGTGGGGAAAAAAAACGATTTCCATGTGTTGATGACAAAACAATAATTATACTATGTAGTTCAGAGTTTGTTTTGAATAACTATAAACTTTGAAAGTCTCTTGAAGATTAAAAAAATCAGCAATGCTATTTTGAGCACTGTAAACATATTTATTACGACGCACCTTTGGACTCCAACTTTTTCAGGTTTGGGAGTCCATGGACTCCATGTTTTTAAGTCCTAGTGAGAACCCCAGACTACCCGAAATACGTCGGTCCGACGGACATGTCCGATAAATTTTGATCAGGTCCGACGAGTTTTTATTCCGGATCGGTTCGACTGTCCGGCTTTTATCCAAGCCGCATGTATACAAAATGGCGTCGCTAAAGGTGCCAAACCTTGGGAAAAATCAAAAATCTACTTCAGAGGAACGCGCAGAACAGTAGTAAAAGGATAAAAAGAAGGACCTGAGACAAAATTTAATGAAAATTAGAAGCAAGACAGTGAATCGTTGGTGTATGATAGGGAGGAGATGAAAATGCGCTGTAAGGAATGTGCCGATTTTTACGGCGAAAAAAATAAAAACAAAAAGTGTCTTAGAAATACAAACACACGCTATTCTTTGATTTTGATCAATTTTATTTGGTCCGACAGATTTCGTTTCGGTCCGACAGATTTTCATGGTTTGTCAGACCGAATGTCTGACAGTTTTTTTCAACTTTCGGGAAGTCTGGAACCCTGGTCTATTTCAAGGATGCTGAAGTTGAAATTTGGGCGTCAAGAAAGCAATGCCTGACGGCTATATCCTGGATTAGACCCCGTGGTCTAAACCAGGAGTATATATTAGGTTCATTCCGTTTTCTTAACTGTATATACAAGTTTTACTTCTGCAGGAGATTGCCTGCCTGACCTCATATACCAGCTATAATCATTTGCAGAGTAAAAAATAGGCTATCCAAAACTTAGCATTTGTTGCTGAAATATTGTATATCATGTTAAAAAATTAAAAAAATGGAACACCCAAGCTTTTATCAGGATTAAATCAAGTCATGTACATATCTGTCTGAACACATGGTACTGTAGTGTAGACAGTTTAAGTAATTTTGATTTGACGAACCTCAGGTGTAAGGCCACTTCTTTTATATTTCTTGGTTTACAAAACCGGCGACCCGAAATATTTGTAAATTGGAAAAAAAATAAAACTGAAATTTCCACTTTTTTTTCCCCCGATGCAAAAAAAATTATCCGAAAAGCGCGATAAATATGAGTACGAAAATTCGAATATTTTTGAGTACGAATCTATATAACGCAACATTCGGACTACCTCGGATAACTACCACAGTTCATGGTAAAACAACAATGGCGGCGCCCTTGAGCGGCACGGTTTACTTCCAAGTAGATTTTGTCGGGATAAAAGATTTGCCAGCCAGACGGGCTTTTTTAAAGGCTGCCGTTGATGAGGACATCGGCACGGCTATAAGCCGTATCCTTCCTCGAGAAGATTTAATGGTTTGATTTACGATATATTTTCTATATTGTTAAATTGTATTTTGTTTTCGTCGAAATGCTCAGCCGGGACCGGTTCGGACACACATCCGATCAGTATTAACCGGGAGAATTGCTGCTTTATAACAAGCAAACGTTCCAGACTCTTTGGTCACGTCGTTCTAAAGAGCTAGCCCAGCACTGACTTGGTGACTGAGGCTGTTAGAAATGTCATATCTGGAGTGAAATAAACTGTACAGTTCAATGAGTCATGAAATCGAAAATACTTCAACAGTACAATTGTTTTTCATCTTGATACAATATTAAACATTATCATAGAGTTTGTAATTTTCACGCAGGTTCAAAGTATAACAGCTGGCAAAAGTGAGCTGCTTGCATACAAAGAGCCCATATATGTGGAGGCAGCAACTCCTGTGAATGTCCTGCATGAATTTGGGACAAGGTTTTTAAGTGTTCAGCTAATGGAACACGAAGGTATACAGTTTATCTTATGTTTTAAAATATTTTTATTAAGTTGATATATTGATTCTTGAACTTTGTTCAAGCTTCAAGTATTAAAAATGTAGCTATTGAAGATATTTTTTGTTTGTTTGTGTTGGGTTTAACATCCCACCAACAATTTCTCAGTCATATGGAGATGGTACATTATCCTGACAGATGGTCAATGCCAAGCAAGGCAGCTACTAGTACCATTTTTAACAGCTTTGGTATGTCGCGGCCGGGATCGATACCCCAACCTCCCGAATTAGATTGAAGGTAAAACTTAAAAGTAAAAAAAAATAAGCATAAAGCTCACCTAACACAACTGACTTTATTGAATAAAGTTGCATATTGTCAGCAAATTACCAAGCACATGGGAGCTAGAAACTGTACCAATGTTCATGTGTTTGATATATATATAAATGCTGACAAGGGTTGAACCCATGACTTTTCACATTCGAGACAAATATTCTACAGCAAGAGATGGCTCTTGAGATGATTTGCATATTGTAATGTAAAGCTCAGGAATAAAATGTATTTAAATACTTTATTTTATGTACAAAAAGACTTATATTGCATGATTGTTGACCCTTTTTAAAGTTTGTTCATATAAAATTCTTTCATCACACAGTTCCCAATACAAAACAAAATGCTGGTGAGAAGAATGTGTTTGATATTTTGTTGCGGGCACAGAAGTCTTACAACCTGATTCCGAAAGAAAGGTATGTTTTATCATTTGAAATGAATTTGCCTAGTACCAAAGCATAAAAAAATTAAACATTCTGCATTCACAAGTAGATTACGATGCCGGGAGCCCCCATTTGAACAAACAGCTTAAGCCGGTGCTAGAGGGTGTGGACAGTGTTGAAGTTTCCAGTACTTATATGAACAGACTCAATCAAACTGAGTTGGCAATTTTTGCTGCCTGCTTTGATTTAAGTGCTTTTGAAGGATCACCCTTTTCAGAATTTGTATAGGATGGATAAATATAAAATTATATAGACCAAGTTTGCTAGCCAATATGCGATTCATGAGAGTTATATTTTGTTCCAGCAGCCAAATGTCTGATATTGTGCTGGGATTTGAACCTAGAGCATCTTGGTACTATTGGGTGCTCTAACAGTGTTCTATAGTATACTTTATATATATTTTTTTCTGTTTCTATAAATATTAACTAAACATGTATTTTTTTTTATAAAATATACCTTCTTATAAATTTTTTTACAGATACTGTATTTAAAATGTGAACTCTCACATTTACCAGGTATGCTATTTGTCTAGCGGTTGTGGTGTTTAGCAAGCTTTTAGTATTACTAATTTGTGGAGTGGTGTATTAACCATCTATGCTATTCTTTTATTTTCCGCACTAAAAAAATTTCACTTAGTCATTTTTCTCTGCATCAAAACTCTAAATGCTTGGAATGAATTTGAAATAATTTGACAAAGGCTTTCATCTTCAAAGTGTGTCAGGCTGCAACTCCTATCCCTACCGTATGAACACAGTCTCATATCCTGTGACATGTAGCATAAATGAAGATAGAAAGTAAATTCCTTTTCTGACAGCTGTATATTCTTTTCAACTTTATATTTCAATCTTCTTTGATATACATGTATATTCTTTTCAACTTTATATTTCAATCTTCTTTGATATACATGTAGTTTTTAATATGTGTGGTATTCCATAAAAGCTGTACACATGTATATGTTACAATATCTTAAGTATATTCTGGATCAGTGCAGAAGGAAATTTGTTAATTTTTTAAAGATGAAAATGTTGCAAGGTTGATGTAAAACATTTATTTGCATTCCTTTAACAGTTAATATCATATTATAAATGACACGTCACAGGAAATAGGGCACTCAGACATTTTCAGGATTTTGCAATGGAAATTTGCGAAAATGTCCAAGTGCCCTTTTTCGCACGGAGCATCTCATAATATATTTTGTTGCATTATTTTTTATAATATAAAATTTTATAAAATAAGTGTGCATCAGATGTTTCAATATCTTAATTGTTATGTCAACAGAATTATATTTGCTTTAATAGATATGATTTTACATGTATGTTGGTTTTACACTGATTCCCATACGATTTCAGACAAGAGATTAACTCAAAAGATAGATTATACAACATGGTGTTGAAGTTCATGCAGAAGAATGGGGTAGCATTTACGCCAATGCAGGTAGTGTTAAAATGTTCCATGAAAAGATTATTGATATTTGATATTATGAAGAATGAAAAGCATAGTTGAAAAATCTTTATATAAAAAAGGTGCTCATTTTTTACTGCATTCCTATTCACATATACTGCTGCAAATATATACAATATATTGTACTACACATGTACAGCTCCACAAATTAATTAGGAGGAAGCATCTTACCTTAATTTCTAGAGTTTGCTTATCTTACAGAAATTCTAATGTCCAATATATCTCATGGAATACATCTCTGTCTTTGAGACTGAGATGCCTCAAATTGAAATATATAAATATGAGAAAAAGGTTTGTATAAAAAATAAAATAAAAAAATATTTTACAGGTGGAGACGACAGGAACTTACATTTGTAAGACACTAACCAACACACTGTGGTACTTGGACCCTCACTGGGAAAAGTTTGAACAAAGGTCTATTAGTTGTGTAGACTTCCAAGATTTAAGAGGTTACAACAATTGGAGAAAGCTTAAGATAAAGGAACCCAAGGTATTTATGCTGCACAGAAGCTTTACATATGTTGCAGTCAACATTCATTTAATTGACTGAAAGATCTTTTTATTCAACCAGATGACCTTTTTGCCCTACTTCTGCCATTACATGTATGTTGATGTTTCCTTGAAGCATGGACTGCAGCTTTCATTTACATTACAGTCCATGAACAGTCTCAATCAAACCTAGCTTGTAACTTTTTTAGCTAGACTATTCGAATAGTTAGAGCTATTGTCATGACCTGTTGGTGCGAGTAGGTTAGTACAAATGTATGTACATACTAAAGAACGTGGGATAAGTTTTCTGTTCAAGTCCACTTTCTCGGAAGTATTTCAAATATTGCATTGAAACTTTAAACATTTATTCTGTGTCAACATGTGCATCCCCTGACCAAGTTGTATAAGTATTTTGAGCTCACCTCTTGTTTTGATATTAAATAAAAAGTACTGAGCTAAGATGGGTCAAAGTCATGTCTTGTAATGCGGTCATATCAGACTCTCTTCTTGTGTCCTGATGTCCTACTTTATGACTTTTACAGGTAACCTCTGAAGACCTGACTGAACATATTTCTAATATGATAACTATGACCTCAGCTGGATACTTCCTTAACCAGAAATTCAAACATTTCAAAGGAATGTGTGAAAATCTTATTCAAGGAATGGTAAAGTATAAAAAACACATTGATCAGCAAGCACAGCGTAGTGCAGTAAACAGGGAAAAGACTGAACCAGTAAGATCATTGAGTGATCACAATGTGTTGAGAGATCTGAAGATTGGAACTGACATCGACAGGAATTATACTCTTGTTCATGAATCTCTCCGGACCCTGAAAGAATTTGAACCCCTCTTTCTGTTTGATTATGAACCAGAAGATGTCTACGACAGGAAATTATGGTTAGAGAAAATGACATTTCCATATCCAGTCAAAATGTATACTCATAAATTTGGAAACTTCCTGGGAAATCACACCTTTATTTGGAAAAGCCCAGAAGATACAAAAGATCTGTCTAGAGCAACAGGTGACCTAGATGCCATCACAGCCGTTAAGCATGACCTGGAGAAATTCTCAACACGTGCAATGAGAAGAAATTTCTTTCAGAAATATTCTAAGACTGGAGCAAAACCTGCCATTCTAAGGAGCATATACAGATATCTCACTGAAGACGACACTGCTCCAGAAAGTAATGAACAAAGGGCAATAGACACACGTGTGTCTGAGTTCCTGCTTCAAAACGACTCCACAGAGTTTCTGTATATTTGCGACGCACAATGGGGTCCCCAAAAGGACAAAACCTTTACCCGTTTTTGGGTCTCTTTGGGAAAAAATCTGGGCAGTATTGAGTTTTTCATGAAAGACACACAAAAGAAAAACATGTATTGCCTAAGAAAAAAGAGCTAACTCTTTTAAAAGAAACTGTAAGAAAGATTTTCCCCCCAAGGGATTAAAAAATCCATCACCCTCATGGCTTGCATTTAAATTTTTGGCCATAACAAGTTTGTGAGGAAGCTAGTCATACACAGGGGCGATATATAAGATATGCAGTTTTCCACACGGTTGACTAGAGCCCCTACCCGTTCGGATTGCTTTACTCAGTTGTTTTGATGAAAGATTAGCAGTTCGATTTCGGAATGAAAGTATACTGATTTGTCTTGACGACAAAAGTGTCGTTCCGGTTGGTGAACCAGGGAAGCCTGTATCAACAGGAGTTAGAGCACATAACAAATCATTGGTCATAAGAGGAGCAGTACTCAGTGCTCTAGATCACGACTTCCACATACATGGTGCAGTGCCTTCTGTGCTTTTCAAAGTGGATATTCCTGAGCACAAGTCAGATAGCTTTTACAATGGTACAGTGCATGTTACGGTTAAGGAAAAGGTGTTTAGTCCCTCATCTCCAATGAGACATGCAGCTGAAAGCATGAAAATTCTGAGAAATGGAGATTCTGAAGATGGACTTTCTTTAACAAAACCAATACTCTTTGTGTATACTGATGGCGGACCTGACCACCGATCTACTTACTGGTCTGTACAGTTATCATACATCTGTATGTTTATAGCACTTGACCTAGATATGTTGATAGCAGTGCGTACTGCACCATCACAAAGCTACAATAATCCAGCAGAGCGTTGTATGAGTTTACTTAACATTGCACTGCAGAATGTTGCTTTACACAGGGAGTCTATGACAGAAAACTTAGAGTTAAGAGTACGTAGTTTAACATCACTTGGTAAAATACGTAATGCAGCAAACCGTGATCCCGACTTGAAAACTAATTTGGTAGACTCAATGGAACCAGTGCTGGCAGTACTGAAACAGCGATTCTCAAAGCTGAAATTTCATCAAGAGCCATTATTAGTACATGATGCTGCAACAATGAAGAGTGAACCCAAAGTCACCCAGAAAAATGTTCTCAAATTTTTCAGCGATGATCCGACACCCCAGTAAGCTGTCTCCAGCAGTCATTGACCCTTTAAAAAGTTCTTTGACACCACTGCGCAAACGCCACTATCATTTCAGGTATGTTTTTTAAAAAAGTCTCATTTATAATTCAGTACCAAAAATTTTCGCTACATCATATATATTAAAGAAAACTGAAATACCGGACCAAATGGCTTAGTGGTGAGCACCGCTTCTGGTATGGGGGGTCAGGGGTTAAATCTCCACCACGACATATAAAAGTTGTTAAAAAAAAACCCAGTGTTTTTCTGTTTTTGGTGTCTTGTAGGAAAAAGTAGTTCTGTTTTTCCTACCTTTGGGGCAATGGACTCCATCAGAAATGAGGTTTGAAGAGTGATAAATAATATAAGTTGTAAGACTTGTTTCGCAATCTATAATGTACATTATAGATCTGAATCGGGTAAATGTGCAAAAATGTTTTCTTTTTTTATACAGATACGCAAATGTAAGCGCAGTGTTGACGACTGCTGGTTCTGTGCCTTGTTTCCAAAGAGACTGGACCAAGATCTTGAGTGGTTACCAGACCCAACCACTGGGCCAGATGGGGAGTTCCTGCTGCTGAGTGACTGTATCGGTACAGAAACCACAGATGACAAGAGGCCATCTCTTGATGGCAAAATTGCCATTTCAGAGAATGATAAAAAAAACAAGTCTCATCTAAATGCAGGTGAATTCCGTTTAAATAATTGAAAATATACAAAATGCCAAGGTCTAAATAAACACAGAAGATACATATGTATTGTTCTATTGTCATGACAGTTTGTTACTAGTCAATTTTAATGCATAGAATTGCATTTATAAAGTCTGCACTGTTTAATATCCCTTTAAGCTGAATTATCTCCTTTTAATATTTTTACAATTTTTTAGACTTACTAGCAGGGATGGCTAGGTGCTTCCACCGCATCTGTATGACTCTGGTATGGTCTGTGCTTTGTTTCATTATTTTAAAATTCAGACTGACTTAATTCTTTATATACTTTTTCAGCTCAAGTTAGAGGATTCATTATTTGTCAAGAATGTGGGAAGAGAAGAGCTATATATTGCAAGCGAAAATTGTCTCATATTGAGGTATGTTGTTTTAACCACTTGTACAAAGCATTAAATGATTAGATTGTTAAGTATATAGTTTCATATTGGCTACTTCAATGGCAAGCAAATAGAAACAATTTTGAGAAAAAATTAATTATAAATTAAACTTTCCAACTTAACCTTCCGACAAACTTAGTTCTGAATAAGTGTTTAATTTGAACTACTAGACATTTTAATAAAAAGGAATTTTTTATATTAATTCATTTTAATATTTAAAT